CTTTTAGAACCATTATATTAAAGTCTAATCGATAAGATAAGATAAAACAAGCCTTTATTGTCACTGTACAGAGCACAATGAAATTACAGTTCAGAACACCCATTCAGAAGAAGACAGAACATAACAAACATAGGAGAACAGGTGCTCTGGGTCATGCAGACACAGACCCTGCACAAAGCAAGGATCATCTTCATGAAGACATCATGAGGAGGTGCTACCCTTAAAAGAAAAAAACTAAAAACCACACAAGGGAAGATGAGGYAAAAAAATGCACAGAAACCCAGCAAATTATAAATGTGCTCGAGTGATTCACTGATGTAACTTAGCTTTAATGTTTCAACTTGTGTTACTTTTATGGTTTAAACTTCTTCTTGTCAACTGACAGTTTTCAGATGCAAACAAGTCTCTTAAATTCCCTGTACTGCCTCCTGTCGTTTTTAATTTGAAGCAGAATTGAAACATAAAGAAAAACTCTTGTCACCCTGTTTACACTGATCATATTTAATTCAATTTAATCGAATTCTGTTTATTTATATAGTTCCAAGTCACCAAGAACATCATCTCAGGGCACTGTACAAAACGTTCCTGTGCATTATAAAAGCCAATGGATAAAAATGATCAATATAAGAAAGGCAGCAGATTGCACTGAATCATCACCTCAAACACAGAATGATTAGTCCAGGTGTCATTTCCTATGGGGAAAAAGGCAGAAAAATACATGTTAAAACATAGAAATAATTACAAACACAAACGTGTTAAGCAAGTAAAGACAGCAGCACAGTGAGGAAACGTGGTCAGCTTAGCCTCCAGCAGTCTAAGCCTATAGCAGCAGAACTAGGGGGTAGCTCATGAAACCAACCAACAACCAAAATCACTGTTTCCACTGACACAACTTCCATTTTTTTTCACAGTGAAGTTACCTCAGATCATAAAGTTGATGGGAGCAAAGAGTGCCGAGGGACTGAGCTTTAATTCTGTTCTTCTGGAGCTGTTGGCCATCACTGGAACAATGGCCTACAGTATTGCCAACAAGTTCCCCTTCAGGTAGGACCTGCAGGATACGTCTGTTTTAGTCACTTTTTGTGCAATATTAGTTTCTGACTGGAAGAATGTGTTACCTCAGTGCCTGGGGAGAGGCACTGTTCCTCATGTTGCAGACAGTTGCCATTGCCTTCCTCATTCAGCATTATGGAGGAAGAACCAGCAGAGGTTAGTCAACAATATTTAGTTTGTTTACAGTAAACCATATTAGAGTTTACATCATAGATATTTTTTCAGTTCTGGTTTGGAATTAATTTGTCTCATCTCCTCCAGGTCTGCTCTTTTTGGTTTTATATTTCAGCCTACTGGCCCTCCTCCTCTCTCCACTCACTCCCATGGCAGTGGTCACCTTCATGCAGGCGACCAACATGCCAGCTATCATCATTGGGAGGGCAAGTAATCCAAAACACACAAGTTCTAGTGGTATAATGGCTCTAATGGGCTGTGATAGATCAGTGGTCAGTGTTGTGGTCTCATGATTATGAGAGGTAGAGGTAGAGACAAAGGGCATTTGGTGTAAAGTAACTGCAACATATTTTATGCAAGTTTMCTTGCTTTAGGGATCCCTGCAGAAGAGCAGCAGAAAGAAAAACAACACACTACCATGAGCTTTGTTTTGTCTGCATTTAAGGACCTGCCACTAGGCCTGTCGCGATAG